TTGTTCATGTCTGGTCCACCCTTCTGTTGATCCGTTCAGAAGGTATACCCAGGGGTTGAGGTTAAATAATCCAATTTTAAATAGGCACTCAATTATAATGATAGAAAGAAAGATAGAAATTGTTATTATTATCATTTATATAGCGCAAACTTATTACGCAGCGCTTTACAATATTATAGAGGGGAAAATGTAAAAATAAATAACAAAACAATAAATAAGGCAATTACAAAATGTTACAAGAGAAATAGGTTGATGAGAAAGTTGCTCAAAAATGCTTATAGAGAGATAGATAGATAGATATAGATAGATAGATAAATAGATAGATATTAGCAAATATATAGTACCATATTTTGGTGTTAACAGATAAGACAGGAAAAGGTAATTAATAGAGTGAAGGGAACGAGAAGGGGTGCGTTCGCTGAGCGAAAAGGAGTGGTAGTGAGGGGTTGCATAATTGAGGGTTTTGTAGGTTAGTGTTAGCAGTTTGAACTAGATCCTGAAGGCCACACAAAACCAATGTAAGGAATGGCAAAGTGGTGAGGTATGGGAGTAGCGGCCAAGCTACACAATGCACAAATAAATTAAATAGAACACAATGGATCTGCAACCAGCACAGTGGGAAGAGCTCAGCTCGAAGTCACTGCTACGAAAAAAGCATGGACAAGGGGGATCTCTCCACCAGCCCCAAGCAATATCCTGAGCCAGCAAGAAGTGCTCAAAATCCGGTGGCTGTTGATGACAGAATCTTAATCCCGGGATCTTCTCAACTAACAAAGCAAGCACTGCCAACTGGGGACCCTCCAAAGATTCAAAGGCGTTCGTCCCTGTAGGGCTCTTGGCCTAGGTGGGTGGGAACAAGGTCTGTAACTGTCGGATAACTGGGGGTAATACACTGACCACAGCATCATCTCCTGCATTGTCTTGCTGGAAACACATTGATAAAGCCTCTCCCTGGAAAATAAAGAAGGGAGAGCATGACTGAGGCCCAGGGTTTGGGGTGAGTGGTCCCTAGATAGATAAATAGTTGCAAATGGGGACCCAGGGATGAAAAAGGGGTGAGGAAGGAGGGGCCTTACCAGTCAGGGCAGATAAGATGAGGAATCCAGACTTTCCCACCCTCCCTCCCTGGGATAGATTTGGTTGTGTTCTGTTTCTGGTTTTGTTGTCTTGTGTTTTGTTTTGTCACAGCTTGCGGTTCTTCCTGGCCTGCTCTACAGGGGATGGAAATGCCAAGGCAGCTTGGGGAGTTGCAGCCTGCCAGGAGCTGATGGCGGGAGGCAGGCTGCTCTGGACTCTTGGAGAACGGTGTAGAGCTGTCTGTTGGTGAACACCCCAACAGCTGACAGAGGAACTTGCTGGCATGATGTTTATGGTTAAATAAAGCTGTGGCCGTTGCCCTTACCCAACTTACTCAGGTTTGATGTGTCTTATTTGGGGAAACGGAGGGATAAAGTAAATGGGTCATCAGTCAAGCTTCGTCCAGAAACACTGGCACAAGTCGTCAAAAGCCAAATGAACTGTACCCATGTGTTGTGCAGGGATATATACAGCTGCCATTTTATAACTTGAAAGTACAAAGTCTCTTTATTGATTGAGCAGGCTTCACATACTACTTTCTCTGGAATCACTAAAAAAATCCAAAAGAACTGCAAATCCCAATCAAGTGTACAGTGCTCTTGGGCCTCCAAGGTAAGTATAACTGTGCAAAGTTGCTGTATTTCTTTTTTTTTCAGTTTTGGGCTGAAAATTTGAAATGGTACCTGAGGCTCTTCTAGCTTCCATCCTGTGTGGTCAGGATTCAGGCCCTGTCACCCGCAGGCAATATTTTTTAAGGTGGAAGCTACAGAATTTAGATGAAGACTGGTTGTGAGTAGAAAAAGTAAGAACGGAGTCTAAAGTAACTCCAAGGCAGTCAGTTTGATGACATGGGGTAATAGGTGTCACATAGGTGACGTGCAAGGATATACAGTAGATGAAGGTGGACTGTTGGGGGGGGGAGGTGAGGAGTTTGGTTTTAGAAAGATTAAGTTTTAGAAAATATGAAAACATCCATTTAGAGATGGAAGAGTGTCAGTTTGTGACGTGTTCCAGGAGGGCAGGAGAAAGGTCATAGGAGGAGAGATAAATCTGAGTTTCGTCAATATATACATAACATTGAATTCCAAAAGAGTTAATAAGGTTAACAAGAGAGGTAGTGCAAATAAAGAATAAAAGAGGACCAAGAACAGAGCCTTGGGGAATTCCAAATGAGACAGGTAGTGGGGAGGTGGTAGCACTAGAGAAGGAGACACTATATTAGCGATCAGAAAGATAAGATGAAACCAGGAAAGTACAGTGTCACATAATCCAAAGCTGTGGGGGGTTTGAAAAAGAAGAGATTGGTCAACAGTATCAAAAGCTTGCAGAGAGATTTTAAGAGAATTAAGACAGAGTTATGACCTTTCGATTTGGCAGAGATTCCATCATTAGACACTTTGGTAAAGACATTTTTAGTAGAATAGAGGGAGGGGAAGCCAGAAGGTCAAAAAGGGAGTTAGTACTGAAAAAGTACAAATTGAATAGGGTGTGGTATATGTCAGAGAACTGTAAATATCACTTTCATTTTTACATTCTTTGAAAGATCACAGTATATTGTAATTAAAAGAAAAATGAAACAACAATTTCTCAAAAGTGTGCCATCTTCTCTAGTGTTCTGAGATGCTCACTGTCACTGTCTCTACCGTATATCGAAAAAAATTTATTTTAACAAATAGCCATTGACAGTTTAATCATATATTTGCATTATACCAAAGGTGTAAAGAGAGCCACCAGATGGCTAAATAAAAGAAGCTACAATGTCAGAAAATTATATATAAAAACTGTATTTGAGTCTGAACAAATAAACACTTCTCTAATATGCAGAAAATAACATTCTGTAAAATAGTTTTCAAGACTTGTCTCACATGATCCTTTAATAGAGGATTTATCCAGGCTAGTGCTTTCTTGAACAGTAAAATCGTAATGAACCCCACGCCCGGTCAGATGGGAAGAGCTAAAGGGGCTATATGAAGGTGCATTCCAATTTGGTTAAGGAAACCTCTTCACTGGGATGGATCACCATTAACTCGTGGAGGTGGAATTAATGGCAGTCCAGAACTGAATTCTTTCACGTTCTCTCCACATAAGAGTTCCAGAACCCTCGGACGATCATATCAGCCTTCTTTGGGCCTTATCAGTGAGATGTAGCTGACACCCCTCTAGGCACAGTGAGCACAGGACCCCGTCTGGATTACCCTTTTAACTTGGGGAGAGCCTTTCCTTTCTTAAATACAGTTTGATTGGCATTTGATTGGCTGAGATCATACACCCAGATGATCTCAGCAGAAGGAGGGGTGGCCACGGAGAGACCAGTATGTCGCTGGACAAAAGGTGAGTGTAAGTTTATATTTTTATTTATACAGGGGAGCACAACAGTCTAAGAGGAATTTTGAGATCCCTGCTCTACACTGTCAGCTGAAGTGCATTAAAGAGAAACAATAGTGCCAAGAAAACAAACTTAAGAAACACCCAGAAATCAGCAATAATTACTTGCTCAAGGTTAAGGGACCTGGGACACTGCACCCAGACCAATTTAATGAGCTGAAGTGGTCTGGATGCCTATAGTGTCCCTTTAAGAAGGAACAACCTTGTTTTGGAGAAGACTTTGAAAAGGCATCAGTGTACATTAACATTAACACTTGCTCTTGCATACTGGTGTCTTTTGTGAATCCAAAACATTTCACATTTCCACCACAATTTTTTTTTTTTTTAATTCTTTATTTTCGTAGTGCATAGACGGTTCATACAGGCTTGCATTGCCACAACAGCTGGTGCAAGTTATTCAATCAACAAGGGTAAACAATTGTCAGCATTGATAACATAGCACTTTTTGTTTTTTTAATATATTGCATACTATAACTTATAAACGTGAAAACATTTAGGTAGCTAACATGCAATTCCTGCCTAAGTGTCGCAAGACAAGTATTCGATGTATATGTGTGGGGCAGGGTGCATTAGATGCCTCTTTTACCGAGGAGTTGGACAGAGCCCAATGGACTGAGGGCGAGTGAGAGAGGCCCGTGCCCCCTTTGTATACTCGTGGGTTGGTAATTTCAGTGGTTCTTATGGTGGGGGAGGAGGGAGTAAGTAAAACCAGAGCAGTGTGTGGGGAATTTTCTAAGAGGTATAGCAGGTATGCCATAAATATTAGACAAAAAAAAGAACATTTTAACGATGCTCATGGAGGATTAAAGAAATTTGAGCTAGACATAATAGCAACAGGCATTATTAATTAATTACAAGAAAGCTCAGGTCACCGAAGTGGATGCCGTTTCTCCTGGTTGGGCTGCCGGTGTGAATGGGCGTACTGTAGCAGGATTCCAGACGGTGGATGTCGTTGGTAGGTTAGATTCAGCTTGCACAGGTGCTTGCCCCTCCAATTCAAGTTTCTGTAGTGTGGCTGGGATCTCGGCTGCTTTGTGTACTTTGAGGTTACCAGTATCCTTGGGTATGAGCAGGCTTCTGGGTGTGCTCCATCGGTAAGTTATATTGTGTGCAAGGAGCTCTTTAGTTAAGGGTCTCAGGGACCATCTCCAGTCCATGGTGGTTTTGGATAGATCAGGGTAAAAGGTTAGGGAATGGCCTTCAAAATGTAGGGGGGATTTATTTATCATGGCCACCATGAAAGCCATGCGATCTCGGTCTTGCTGGAAGCGCATGATTACATCTCTCCCTCTCTCTGAGGTACCTGTCTGAGGTCTGGAGATCCGACACCAACTATCTAGTGGCATCCCTTTGGCCTATTTGGTCGGGAAGAGCGTGCTAAGCATTCTGCGGAATAGGTGCGGTAACTCAGCGGCCTCCACCGCATCAGGCAGGCCACTGGCTTTGACATTCTTCCAATGCCCTTTATCTTCAAGTGCTGCCATGCTGTCTTGGGCTTGTCTTTGGGCCTTTTGCAGGACTAAAAGTTGCTGCTCTACCGTCACAAGTCGGCTTTCCTGTGCGGCAGTGTTGAGCTCTGTGTTTTGCAGGCGGGCCGATACTCTGCTGATCTCTTCGCAGAACGTGGCGATGTCAGCTGCAATATTGCAGCGCAGCTCACCAAGCATGTCCCTCAGCTTTTCCTCTGCGATCGGCGGTTTTTCAGGTGAGTGGGTCGGTCTGCTCATAGCTCGAGCGCCATAGTCACCCTCTTCAGACACAGAAGCCTCGCTAAAAGAGTTGTATAGGCTATCTATCTGAGATGCCATTGCAGGCCTTTCGGAGTTTTGGGGCCTCCGCAGGATAACTCAGATATCCGCGGTTGTAGGTGGTCTTTCCGGCTTCCTTTTTTTATTCTGTCGCCCCATGCCGTCTGGAGAGCAATCTGTTTCAAAGGGTGTTGTTAGGGTAGATTTTCCTCATTATTTTTAGCTGAATTGAGCGTTTTTCGCTCGGAGCTCGAGGCATGTGCGTCCTCTCGGTATGGCTGCCTCCACAACAATTTTATCCGAAATTGGAGCTAATTTGGATGAGAAATGTACTTTAGAATAAATTGAAAAGGGCAGGGTTAATGATTGAGATTATACAAAAGAGAACTGATGGGGAATCAACACACATACAGCTTCTAAAGAAGGTTATTTATGTTTGTTTTTGGGAGAGACCATTTAAAGAACACTCCACGCACCATAACTCCTACAGCTCACTAACCTGAACCCCACAATGCACCACCACCTTCTCTGCACCCAGAAGCTCATGCCAATGAGCTAAGTCAGGTGATATAGCGAGCCACTCATTTTGTCTGGTTGAACTGCAGCACTTAGCTCAGGTGATAAAATGGAAGCTCCGTGCAGGAGCTTCTGCCCCTCCTGGAAGCTGTGACCAGTCCATGACCAGAATGACCAATGGTAAGTTTTCAAAGCATTTGAAAATGGTTGGGCTCCTTACCTTGGGAGGGCACCATGCCATGCTGTACTGGTGATGGTGCTTCGAGTGTTCCTTAAATGCCTTTTTTGAAGCATGCACACTTACTTTAAAACACTCTCACTATTTCTTAAAGTAAGAATTAACAAAAACAGAGAATATGAGAACTCTGAGAATGGACACAAGCTTAGATAAACTCAGCGGCTTGCCCTTCCTAAAAACCCGCTCCGGTCTCAAATATTATTTGCTTACTTGTGACATTACAAAAGGGAAAATAAGGCATATCAGACTGACCCCCTTGTAGGAGCAGTCCAGAACCGAATGTGAGTATGTTTTCTCTACACGAGAGATACAACAATCCTGGATGATCATTTTAGCCTTCTTTGGGCCTCGTCAGTGAGATGATTCCCCTCTAGGCACAGTTAGCACAGGATCCATGTCTGGATTACCCTTTTATCTTGTGGAGAGCCAAGTTAATGCATTAAAGAAAAAACTGCGAATATGAGAACTTTGAGAATGGACAAAAACATAGAGATACTCAGTAGCTTGTCCTTTGGTAAAGCCCCTTTCAGGTCTCAAAATAGTTTCTGCTCACTTGTGCCATTACAGAGAGAACATATTCCAAGGCATATCAGACTGATCCCACCCATAAGGGCCGTCCAGAACCGAAATGCTGGTAAGTTCTCTCTGCACGAGAGATGTAAGAGTTTTTAACAGCATTTACATTTGTAGTAAATAGTTTTTTTTAACCGCATGTTTTTGATCAACTGTTCTGCAAGAACTATAAACGTCTACCTTGCTTGAATGGATTAAAATCACTAGAACATTCAACATAGGGCCTATTCACTACAGAGGGGCCATTTACTAGAGCAGGGTTAGGCAGCCTTTGTCGCTCCAGATGTTGTGGACTACATCTCCCATAATCCACTTACAGCCATAATGCTGGCAAAGCCTCAGGGGAGATGTAGTCAACAACATATAGAGTGGCAATCATTGCCTGCCAACTCTATTAGATAGTGAATTATGGTGAATTGACAATGAGCATTCACAATTTTTCACTATGACAAAGTTAGAATTTTTTTTCTTGTTTTCATCTTGGTAAATTTTGGCCTAAATGTAGAAAATAATTAGCCAGCATGCTGTATAATAAATATCTGGTATAAATATAACAAATACTAATATCTACATTGCTGTATCATGAGAAGCACAGTTGCATTTTTTTTATGTGTTATATATAGCTATACATAAGGGGGGTTTAGCAAGAACTTGTATTTTTAGCCTGAGAGGGATTAAAATCACAGCAGCATTAAACTCAAGAGCACAGTTTTACCCAACTCACTAAAGGTCCTACAGCGGAATTTTCCATATGAGCTGCATTAATACAGATTAACTTTAGTTCTCGCTATTGTCCTACCACACAATGGTTGAATGCGGAGAGTATTTTTGTCTCGCCTTATTTTCTTCACATTTGCTTGTGATAAGGGCCCAGTATATTGGCATATATGTATATTTGAGTACTTCATTCTATCTTTTATATAAGCACAGGGTTGCCTATATACTTTTAAAGCAAATTATTGTACCTCATTTCTCTACCAAAGCACTTCTTGCAATGTTTTTTTCTGACATAATGGTATCTTCGTGAGCCTCGATTGTCAAATTCGGACTTCCTGCCTTCAGCTTGCCAAGCTTCTTCCAATAGTTTTTTTATTTTTATGACAGCGTGAAGTCCAGATCTCGTAAATCTGGTAAGAATGTATTTTTATTTTACTCTCTAAGAATTGCCTTGTTGGTTTAAAACTACAAGCCTAACTTATCTGCAATCACAATGTTCATGAATCATGTAAAAGCTAAAAATTTTACTTTTCGTGTGAAAAACGAGATCTAGGTTTTCGAAGGAATTTTTAACTGTGTCAAGTCATGTAAGTTTACCTGTTTTCAAAAACTCCTTCAGGGCAAGCAGACCCATTCTGTCTACTGTAAAAAATATATATTTTTACCAGCCCAGCAAGCTCAGCATCCCTCTCAGTTGAATGATCTGGATTGGCGGTGGAGTTTCACAAATATAGATTTCTAAATATACAGCACTACAAATGGTGGGCTTCACTGAAGAAAAATGTTCTTCGAACTATTTCATAATATATTAATAACTTAGGCGTAAACAGAGCGTTGCGTTAGAGTGTGCACCAAGAGAAAATTGCAATCTAAACTATACTTAAAAAATACTAATACTAATCCTCCTGGAAGTTCCAACTGCTGTTTGCACATATTGATGTAGCACAATTGGTCGTGACAATTTATATTGCACTTGTGTTGAAGCACTTTGAGAAACCGTTTAATGTGATTTATTTTGTATTTCTTTTAAACTGACATTTTTTTGATTTTATTGAAGCGCTGCAATATACTTTGGTTTTTAGAAATAAGGGTAAAATATTCACATTCTATGTGATTTAGTGATAACCAGAGAGGACAATCTGTCATTGCCCAGGCACATCTGCCCCACCTCTTCCGCGCATGATTAAGAGCGTTTTTTTTGGGTTTAAACACATACATTTGTTATTATTTTAATGTATAATTGCATTTCTTCTAACGTTACATTGCATTTTATAGCTTTTTCACTCCTTGACAAAATGCACAGATCATGTCAGGTTTATGACTGTCCTTATCTTCCCTACAAAGTCCTTTGACTGAGAGAAAGTATCAGGTACTTGCATTCGGCAGTAACACCTGGAGACAGACTATACTAACAGTTCACGTGTATATAGGTAACCATGCAATATCACAGATTGAGCACATGTATTCATTAACTATTTATGACATAACAGATGCAAGTGTGCAAACAATTTGCATCTGTTTCCCCGCCAGTGAACTGGACGGACTCCAAACAAATACATTTCCCCTTTTCTATTTATGACTTCCATAAAATTATAAGGCAGCCGTGTAACATTATGCTCTAAAATTACCCCCTTGTACCACGTGCTCATGATACATGTTTTAAAACATGTAAGATGAGGTTGTGTCAGCTGCTCTGCTGGAGCTATGGGAAATCCTGCCACCTGAAGTCAGTGCTTAAAGCCAATCTCTGTTGAACTGAACCACCGGCTGTTCAGTCCCAGACCTTCTTCCTTTCCAGACATCTGTGATTCCCACCAACTCTGCTGGGTGGCTCTTGTATCCCTCGACTGCATTACCCTTCTACTTTTGGAAATGCCGTGAGATCCAGCAAGACTTTGAGTTAACCACTTCTCTGCGACATAAAGGTCCTTCTGGAATTTTGTTGGAACTTTTCATGTCTTGTCTGTCTTGTTTCTCTTGCCATCTGGACACGATCAGGTTCTTCATTCCTTCCTTGATTGGTTAATATTTTTTGAGTACATGCAGCATGGACCAAATCAAGGCAATAATGATATCGGAGGAAATTTAACAAGACTCTAGATCTGACTAAAAGATAATAAAATAAGAAGAGGGTGTGTTTAGCACTTTGTACCTTAAGCAAACACAGCATAAACAGGTGTATATACTCTGGAACCCGCAGCCCAACATTTTGCAGACCTCTTGATGAGTAAATAATACATAAACAATCGTCCCTGAGAGCTTGCAATCAAACGGCTATTTATGCACAAGTTACTCACTAGAAGCACCTTTGGAAGTTAGCACCACATTATTCTGAAGGACGGTTCAGTCTACACGTGGGGAGCAGATTTTTTTTTTGGACAGCCCTGGACTCTGTCTGTTATCACTATGTGTGTGATCTGTGTCAACAACTGAGCTTTCTCGTCACTGCAAAGCCACAGCCGTGTGCAGGCAGGACAGGGGAAAGCAGGGAGGGGGGCACAGTGGTGCATCATGGAGTGATAAGAAGATAAGAAGTCAGCTTTCAGGGTACAGCACCTGCAACACCCCTGAGACTCAATGATGCTTGGATACATATTCTGGAACGTCTCAGATAAGTTATACAGTGAGTTGTCTTGAAACCTCTAAGATAAGTGTAACAGTGACTTGTCCTGAAACTTCTAACAAAGGTGATACAATAATTTGTCCTGGAACTTCTGAAATAAGTGGTACAGTGACTTGTTCTGGAACCCCTATGATAAGTGATACAGTAAATGTCCCTTACAGCAGTTTGCAAGTTGATAAACACATGGAAAAAATAAAAGAACTAATTTAACTGCTTCTTGGCTGAAGGGGTGACGTGGCACATGGTACCCCATGTTTTTGGGGGAGGAAAGAAGGGCCGCACGCCCTGTGGGAAGGCAGAGGAACCATAGATTTTTTTGGAGACATATCGTGGAAAGATTATTATGCTGTGTCGAGGGAGGAAATGACAAGGAGGTTTGTCCTAATGAGAAGAGAGCTAGAGAACTTCTCATCGACAAAAAGGTAAGAGATTTAGATAAAAAAATAAATTTATAGAAAATAGGGTTACAGAAAATACATTTCCCAGTTAGCCTCTTTTTTTAGGAAAACAATTCTAATTTGTCCTACTGCGATATATACACTACACCAATAGTACCCCAGGCATTGTCATTGCCAAAATATTAAGGTGTTATCTAAATTGACTGCTTATATACAATAGCAGTAGAAATAATGTAGCAGTATCTAAGGGCTGGATTGTCGTAGACAAATAAGAGTTTACTCTCCTTACTGAATAGCAATTCATCCTTTAATATATATGAGAAAACTCCTATTCAGTAAGCAGTGTAAACCCTTACTCTGCTGAGAAAACACAGCCCTTAATGTTTGTCAGTATAAATACCATTAGTTTGTCAGTTGTAACATCTGGTTGTCAGTTGTAGATGCAATGGCCAATATGGAGAGAGGTCAGTTGACTGAACGTGCTCAGAAGCTTCTGTCCTGCCCATTACCTCTACCAGTTGATGGTACAGTAGTTGCATTGTATGATTTTGGCAATACTTCATTTTCTGAGATAATATAGGGTTACTAAGATGTTTTTGTGTGTAGCACTATTTTACAAAGTAAATTGTGAAATGAATTACGATGAATGCTTCCTCACTGTTGCCCAAACCACTTAAAGAACCCGCTGGCCAGCAGGCATTGGTAAGGGCACAGCTAATGAATGGTTAAGTTGCTCACATTAAAGAATCAAAAAAAGAATCAAAACTCAGTTTTTAGTTCAATGGTCTTGCCTTTAGACATTTATTTAACAAAAAAACAGAAATAATAGAGAATTGACAACCGAATTGCATTTTTTAGGCCATATTAGCCAATCTGGAAGAATAACTGACTTGGAAATGATTTCCCAAATATATATTTTTGTCCAACATTTGCAACTCCCCTGTCAAATGAAACAGGTTCCAGGTTTAGTAGTATCCCCACTATAAGGTTTATTCACCAGTAAATTAACCATTTACTAATCTGTAAATTGTGGTCATTTGAATACCAACATTTGAGTCAAATAACATGAGCTGAAAATATTTTTTAGCTCACCAGTATTCTCAAAAACTGGTTAAATGGACACTGTAGGCACTGTAACAGCTTCATCTCATCGAAGTGGTCATAGTGTCTGGAGTCTCCTGGCATAGTCCTTCTGTACAGTATCAAACTCCTTTCAATGGTTTAATGCAAATTAGAGTCCCAGCAGCCCATCATCCCCTCTCTACTGCTCATGTTAAGAGTAATCATTTGCTTGAACAGCAATGGTTGGCTGTGATTGGCTGAGAGTGTCAGCTAACTGTTTTCAGCCTATCACAGCCTCCCATTCCTGTTATGAAATGGAATTACTAAGGAAGTTTGTAATCTCTGCTTTAACCATACCTCCAGTGGGTGCCAGGCTGTAGATGGACAAGGAGCCAAAACTGCCCAGAAAGGGTTTGACATTGAATGGAGGGACAATGCCAGTAGACTCCAGGAACTATAACTAGTTTAATGAGACAAAATGGTTACAGTTCCTAAACTGTTCCTTTAAGCCTGAATTTAGCTATTTGCTTTTTATTTCATGACAACGTTAAATTCACAATATCGTTTTAAAACCAAATTATTTAGAATGAAACACATGCTGGATATCCTTTTTGACTCCTAATTCGTTCAAAATAGGTGAAAATATGTAACGAAATCATAATGTTAAAGGGACATGCATCACTTGACATTTCTTAAACCATCAAGCAAACACTTTTAAACAAATATACAGACCAAAATAAGCCAAGAAAAACATTGAAAAGTATGTGATAAACATTTATAAATGATAACCATAATCAGATTGCATTGTTGGGCACACCTCTCAGCCAAGGAAATATTTTTCAGCCTCCATCCCACGTTTACCCACCCACTAGTCCATCCATTGCAGTTTTACATGCACTATCACCAGCCATGCATGGGAAGCTATGTGCATGCTCTTGACTTTTGCAAATAAAAGAGCAAGGGATGCAACAACAAAGGAAGAGCAATTGTAACAATATATATACACACACACACACACACACACACACACACAATTTTACACAGCCACAGCGGGTGGCCAGGCCTTGCAGTGATGATTTAATATGCTCTTCTGCTCCCTTCGCCTAGCAGTTCTCTCTGGCCAGTACCTCCACACACAGGAGTAGGTCACCAGCCGGGGAGCTCCAACCACGGGCTTGAAGTGCAGCAAAGATTCACCAAATTCAGCAAGTCCACCCAGGAAGTGAACCTGGCTAGTGCTCGTTGTCTAGGTGAAGTTGTCTTACTAATGCTCGTTGCTTAGGGGAGATAAGTACCAGACGTGAACACACACAAAGCACATTAACAGCAGATGTGCATTGTTGGACCTTGCAATGTCACCTATGACGCTGCAAGATCATTTAATTGTGCAAATGAGTCATGCGTGCGCAATGGTATTTTCCACAATACCAAGAAATAGAACACTGATTGGCAAGATAAATGCCCTCCCTCCCAAAGGTGTACGTGGAAAAAGCATGGAAGAAAAACCTGGTAAATATGAAAAAAAATCATATTCACCTGCTTTTTCTGCCTGCAGAAAGAGGTAACTTCAATGGCAAAGCCATTGAATGAGACAGTTGTCTCAAAAGAATGCATGTCCCTTTAAACATTTTCTGACGGAACATTGTAAAACTCTTTAAGTAAACAAAGAGTTAATGCTACTGGCAAAGCAAGTCCAAGTATTCAGAGTGCACAGTTCTCTTTTGCAGGAGAATGGTGGCGAGAGAATAATAGGCAAACCAAAGGACTGTATCAGCAATAAAGAACCACTGGATGAAGGTAAGACCTTTCTGTTGCAATAACAGAGCAACTGATTTATCAATAAAGGGTTTAAGCCTTATTATCAAAGTTCATGCATGCAAGGGTCGGGTTTAAAGTTAAGGGCAAACCTCTAGCTTGTATGGTAGAGGACTACCATATTACAACAAAATGCATGCATGTAGGTAGGAGTGCTTTATGTGTCAGGAGCATCCCAGCTTTATTGCACTTCTACGTAAAATCAGCACTTTTATGAATTAATTTTATTAGCCTGGCTATCAATTCAGGGAGGTTATCTTGTACTTTCTTTAACTGCACTAAGTGGCATGTGCTCTCTGGTGGAGTTCTCTGCCTTACACCCCAATCACAGTGGTCCTTTAAGTGTTCCGTGAAATCATACAGGCTTGAATGCATGTGTTTTTGCCTGTGTCCTTACTTGCACGCGTTCGGTGCTCAGAGGCTTCATGGTCATTTCTCCGGCAAAGACTTAGAGACTTATTCACTGGAGTCCGAATGGTTCCATACCAAATGGGGTAACACCATCCAGTTCTGTACGAGGCCATTCAGACGGCAAAACCCAGATATTGTTCACACTATTTAACATTGTTTAGATTTAGGAAAATTAAAAGCTCCAAACAAGCCTGAATCTGGTCAGGATTAAAGCCAGGCTAAATGATGCCAGAAAGCTAAAATATGGAGCCGGATTGTTAAAATCAGGGCCAGAATTTTAAAAAGCTGAACTATTTGTCCACTGGCATTGTCAAACAGTGGTCAAACAGTTGAAAACAAAGACATTTCAGGGGTGAAAGGACTAATCATGTGGAAACTGGCCAGCACATCCTAGCCAGCTGCCATATGAAAAATTTATAAATAAGCCTATAGGAGTCAATTTGATCCCCATATTAGTATTAGGGAGGTTTAAAATCTGTCTTATGCAACCATTTGCCATGTTGCAGGTTGGGGCTTATCATAGAATGTGACATGACGGCAGATAAGAAACATTCAGCCCATCTAGTCTGCCCAATTTTCTAAATACTTTCATTGGTCCCTGGCCTAACCTTAAGTCTAGGATAGCCTTATGCCTATCCCACGCATGCTTAAACTCCTTCATTGTGTTAACCTCTACCACCTTAGTTGGAAGGCTATTCCATGCATCCACTACCCTCTCAGTAAAGTAATACTTCCTGATATTATTTTTAAACCTTTGCCCCTCTAATTTAACACTTTGTCCTCTTGTTGTGGTGGTTCTTCTTTTAAATATAGTCTCCTCCTTTATTGTGCTGATTCCCTTTATGTATTTAAATGTTCTGTCATATCCCCCCCATTTCGTCTTTCCTCCAAGCTATACATGTTAAGATCCTTTTACCTTTCCTTGTAAATTTTATCTTGTAATCCATGAACCAGTTCAGTAGTCCTTTTCTGAACTTTCTCCAAAGTATTAATATCCTTCTGGAGATATGGTCTCCAGTACTGTGTACAATACTCCAAGTGAGGTCTCACCAGGGTTCTGTACAATGGCATGAGCACTTCCCTCTTTCTACTGCTAATACCTCTCCCTATACAACCAAACATTCTGCTAGCATTTCCTGCTGCTCTATTACACTGTCTGCCTACTTTTAAGTCACCTGAAATTATTACTCCTAAATCCCTTTCTTCAGATGTTGAGGTTAGGACTCTATCAAATATTCTATACTCTGCCCTTGGATTTTTACATCCAAGAAGCATTATCTTGCACTTATACACATTAAATGTCAGTTGCCACAGCTCTGACCATTTTTCTTGTTTACCTAAATCATTTGCCATTTGGCTTATCCCTCCTGGAACATAAACCCTGTTACATATTTTTGCATCATCAGCAAAAAGACATACCTTACCATTAAGACCTTCTGCAGTATCACTAATAAAAATATTAAAGAGAATGGGTCCAAGTACAGATCCCTGAGGTACCCCGCTGGTAACAAGACCTCACTTTAAATATACTCCATTGACTACAACCCTCTGTTGCCTGTCACTCGCCCACTGTCTAACCCATTTAACAATATTGGAATCCAAACTTAAAGATTGCAGTTTATTGATAAGTCTTCTATGTGCGACAGTGTCAAAAGCCTTACTGAAATCTAGGTAAGCAATGTCTACTGCATGACACTGATCTATTATTTTAGTTACCCAAAAAATCAGTAAGATTAGTTTGGCTTGACCTCCCTGAAGTAAACCCATGTTGTCTCTGATCTTGAAATCCCTCTGATTTTAGATGTTTAACAATCCTATCCTTTAACATGGTTTCCATTACTTTCCCCACTACTGAAGTAAGGCTTACTGGCCTATAATTGCCTGATTCCTCCCTACTATTAACATTCGCTAACTTCCAATCTTCTGGGACTACTCCCGTTAACAATGATTGGTTAAATAAATCTGTTAATGGTTTTGCTAGTACACCACTAAGCTCTTTTAATAACTTTGTGTGTTTTCCATCAGGCCCCATAGACTTATTTGTCTTTACTTTTGATAGTTGAAATCCTCTATAAACTCACATGTAACAAATTACTAATTTGTCCTTTTTCCTAACTGAGGTCCCTTTCCTTCATTTTCATCTGTAAATACTGAACAAAAATATTCATTGAGGCAGTCAGCAAGACTGCTATCCTCTTTTTCATACCTACATTCTTTTGTTTTTAATCTAACTAATCCTTATTTTACTTTCCTTTTTTCATTTATGTATCTAAAAAATGTTTTGTCCCCCTTTTTTACTGACTGGGCTATTTTCTCTTTTGTGTGTGATTTGGAAGCTCTTACAACTTGCTTAGCCTCTTTCTGCTTAATCTTATAGATTATTATTTTATTATTTATACAGCGCCAGCAAAATTCCATAGCACTGTACAATGGGTGTACTAACAGACACGTAATTGTAACCAGACAAATGGACGCACAGGAACAGAGGGTTTAAGGGCCCTGCACAATGAGCTTACATGCTAGAAGGAGTGGGGTATAGTGACACAAAGGGTATACGTAGGGGTAATAAAATAGGTTTCTAGAAAAGTATTCACTGGGAACTTAGTAGGTTATTTTTGACATTTGCAGGAGAGGAGTCATGGGGGGCAGACGGGGAATGAAAATCCGCTGAGTTTAAATTATATGCTTCTTCTGCAGAAGTTTGTTTTCAAAGATTTTTTGAAGGAGTGGAGACTGGGTGAAAGTCTAACGGAGAAGGTAAGGGAGTTCCATAGAAAAGGTGCAGCCCTGGAGAAGTCTTGGAGGCAAGCATCAGATGTGGGAGTACGGACAAAGGATAGACGTAGGTCTTCGGCAGAGCGCAGGGGCCTCAACGGGACATACTTGTGTATTAGATAGGATAGGTAGGTTGGAGCAGCATTATGTAGGAACTTGTAAGCAAGCACCAGAATCTTAAATTGAGCCCTATATCTAACTTGAAGCCAATGTAGGGACTGACAGAGGGAGAGGCGTGGGAGGTGCGGGCGGACAGGAAAATGAGCCTTGCCGCAGCGGTGCAATCTGGGAACACGTAAGACCACTCAGAAAGAGATTGGAGTAGTCAAGACAAGAAAGAACAACGGCATGGATCAGCACTTTAGCAGCGTCTGGTGTTAATTAGGGGCGGATGCGAGCTATGTTTTTGAGATGGAAGCGGCAGGATTTGGCAATCGACTGGACATGGGGGGTGAAGTAGAGGTCGGAATCAAAGAGACAGCGAGTCTGCGAATTAGAGGTGATGGTGGCGCCGTTGACTTGGAGGGAGACAGACGTAGGACTAGCAACACTTGAGGGAGGAAAGACCAGAAGTTCTGTTTTGGACAGGTTGAGTTTAAGGAAGTGAGCAGCCATCCAATTGGAAATTGCGGAGAGGCAGTCAGAGACACAAGTCAAGATGGGCGGAGAGAGACCAGGAGAGGACAGGTAGGTTTGTGTGTCATCTGCATATAAATGATAATGGAAGCCAAAGGAGCTGGTGAGTTTACCAAGGGAGGCAGTATAGATGGAGAACAGTAGGGGACCAAGGACTGAACTATAGATCTGTCTATCTTCCTCACTACGTTTTTTTTTATAATTACTAAATGTTAACCTATTGCTTTTTACCATTTGGACACTTCTGCGGAGTACCATAGCGGTTTCTTTAATTTTTTGCTCTTACTGACAAGCCTAACACAATTTTCTGTTGCCTTCAGTAGTGCAATTTTTAAATAATCCCATTTCTCTTGGACTCCATTTAACCCCTTTAGGACACATGACATGTGTGACATGCCATGATTCCATTTTTTCCAGAAGTTTGGTCCTTAAGGGGTTAAACTGCACCAGTCTGATAATGACTCCTTTATACATATTCTAATTTTAGAAAAATCTGTTTTTCTAAAGTCTGAAACCTTTGTTTTTGTGTGGTGTGACATTGTTCTTATATTAAACCATACTGACTGGTGATCACTGGATTCTAAACTTTCACCTACAGTTATATCTGATTCCAAATTTCCATTTGTTAACATTGAAATTTAGTATGGCCTCCTTGCGAGTTGACTCCACAACGACTTGTTTTATAGATAATTCCAGTAAGGAGTTTAGAATATGTGGCACAAGCAGCTATTTTGGTTTTCCAGTTTACATCAGGAAGATTAAAGTCACCCATGATGATAACTTCCCCCTTCATTGTCATTTTAGCTATTCCCTCAACTAGTAGATTATATAACTCTTCTATTTGTCCTGGGGGCCTATAAATCACACCTACACGAGTTACTGTGTGATTACCAAATTCTAACGTAACCCAAACGGTCTATGTTTCGTCTCACTAACATCTATTAGGATAGATTTTATGTTATCCTTCACAGACAGGGCCACCCTCCCCCTTTCTTGCCTTCCCTGTCTTTTCTATATAAAGAGTACCCTGGTATTGTTATGTACCAGTCATTTTTCTCATTATACCATGTCTCAGTAACAGCGACTAAATCTACATTATCAGTTGCCATTATTGCCACAAGTTCATGGATCTTATTCCCTAAACTGCATTTGTAGACATGA